GCAAGAGAGGGAACACAAGCAGGGGGAGTGGGAGAGGGAGAAGCAGGCTTCCTGCCAGGCAGGGAGCCTGATGCAGGGCTCGATCTCAGGACCCCGAGATCATGACCTGAGCCGAAGGCAGACGCGTAACGACTGAGCCACCCAGGCACCCCTAATTTAATTTTTTTAAATCGGTAATGCCTTTATGGGGTTGAAAAATTTTTAAGTTTAAAAAGATAAACAGTGAAAAGTCATTTTCCCACCTACTCAATTCCCATGTCCCCATTCTACTCCCACAGATAAACACTGGGGTTTTTTTTGTTTTTGTTTTTGTTTTTTACCTCTCTTATAGCCTTCCATTTAAAGAAGCAAATATGAATATAGATTGTTAGAAATGGGACATGTAAGGTAGAATATGGAAACACACTGAGTAGGGAATATTAAGCAAAAGAAGGGACAGGTAATTTTCTTTCTATGACTTGGGTTATTTCATTTCTCAGTTTCATGGTAGAATCTGGTCCAAAAGGAAAGAGGCCAGTACATTGACTTGGAATCAGCAAGGAAATTTAATTTTTCAATAATCACCTGAAAAAAATGAAAGATTAAAAATGAGGGTAGTCCTTATCACTTATAAATAACACTTTTAGGGGCACCTGGGTGGCTCAGTCGGTTAAGTGTCTGCCTTCGGCTCAGTTCATGATCTCCAGATCTTGGAATTGAGCCTGCATCAGGCTTCCTGGTCAGCGGGGAGTCTGCTTCTCCCTCTGCCTGCCATTCCCCCTGCTTGTGCATGTGCTCATGCTCTCTCTCTCTCTCTCTCTCTGTGCCATAAATAAATAAAATCTTTTTAAATAAGTAAATAAATAACACTTTTAAAGTGGGTTACCCAGAATCCCTGCTCTTAGCCTATCTTTTGTCTAATAAATGCATTAAAGATTTGGAAACTTACTTGCAGTGGTTGTGGTAGCATATATTTGTTGCAAAAATCTGTCTTAAGTTAGACAATGACAAAGGAGTCACTTAACGTCTTTTTTTCTTTTTAAAATTTTTATTTTTACCATGTTAGTGTCTGTAACTTGCATTGCTTGGTTCAGTGAAGATAGACCATTTGCAGTGGGATATTTTGATGGAAAGTTGTTACTGGGAACAAAAGAACCACTTGAGAAAGGAGGCATTGTTCTAATTGATGCACATAAGGTAAAGCATCTTTACCAGATGGTTACTTTTTCTTGTTTTTTATTATATAGTATTGCTTGGTACTAGTTTTTTTAAATTGTTTTACACCAGGCACTTATGATTTGATATTTTACTGTTAAAGTCTTTGGACCGTGTATATGCATGGAAAAGTCTATGTAAGAAAACCATCAAGCCAAGAAAGAAGTAAAACCAAAACTGAAATAGAAACACCCTGTCAAATGCTAGAAACTCCATCTTTGAAGAATGATTCCTTTACCTTAAAAAGAGGTTGCCGGTTCTGATGATTACAGAGGCATTAGTGCATGAAGGCAGGAGTTGGAAGGTTTGAAGGAGGGTAAAAATAAAAAAGTGTCAGAACACAATGATGACAACCATATAAACACACAATATGTCTTAGATTCTCATATTCACTATTTTGTTATGAGGGGTGCCTCTTTTTTAAGTTTCTTCTTTTTCATATTTTAATGATTACAAATGAATAAAACTATTAAAAATGCTAATGAAAGATGAATATTCCTTCTGAACCAGAATTTCATAATTCATTTATCCAGCTAACATTTACTGAACTTTGGCTGCAGCAAATATATATAATGCAGACTATATTACAGGGTGAGTTGGTCTAGTGATTGGGAATGACGGTATCTTACTTGCATAAAATGTTGATTTCAAAATAATTGAGTGATGGAAGTATAGGTCATAAATTACTGAGTTTAAAGTGTTTGTGAAGGAAGCATTACCATGATTTTTTTCTCTTTCTACCATTTTAAGGATACTCTTGTTAGTATGAAGTGGGACCCAACAGGTCATATTCTTATGACATGTGCCAAAGAAGAAAATGTGAAACTCTGGGGGCCTATTTCAGGATGCTGGCGTTGTCTACATTCACTCTGCCATCCATCTATTGTAAACGGCATCGCTTGGTGCAGCCTCCCAGGGAAAGGATCCAAATTGCATTTACTGATGGCTACGTATGTTATAATTTTGTGTGTGTGTGTGTGTGTGTGTATCTTAATTTTTATATTAAGTATAGACTGTTACTTAGTAGCAGTAGTCTTAAATGGCTTATTGCCCGTTACTATTCTTATAATGTGTAATACCATAAGATGATCTTACACAAATAGAGAACAGTTTTCCAATGTGGAACTTGCTATGTGATCTCCTTAACTGGGTGTGATGTTGCAGAATATAGATTCTATTTATATTTCTTATAAAAGATTATAGCATACCTATTATAAATAATTTTAAAAATAATATTGTAGTAGTTTTTATCAGGTCTTAATTGCTATTTGAAAATATATTTACTTCTGCATATTGACATGTTTTGGTTTTATATGATCAATTTTTTTAAGTGGCTGTCAGAGTGGCTTAGTATGTGTTTGGCGTATTCCACAAGATATACAGCAGACCAGTGTGACTAGTTCAGAAGGATGGTGGGACCAGGAGTCCAGTTGCCAGGTAAATGTTCTGGTGCTTTTGAAGATCTTATCTGAAACCATAGATGGTATATGTTATCAAAGTAATCCTCTGTGAGTACTGAGATACTCAATACTTAGTATGCAAAAGAGCAGGATCCATTAGGGAAACATGAATAATTGTCATATTTTGTGTGTTTTCTGAATTAGCTTTATTTTTTATAAGTCAGGACAGCATGTTTGCTTATTAAAGCGAGATATTCAAGAAATATTGAGTGGTGATCATTTATGGGACTGGCTATATTGGAAACTACGGATAGAGAAGTCGTAAGTTAAGTCTTCGGTACAGTGAGATAGCACCACAGGAGCACCCCCGTCCAACCGAAGAACCTCCTGCTGACACCAGAATTCTACCTATGAAGAATAGTGCCTTTAACTTAAACAGAGGTTACAAATTCAGATAGATGCTTACAGGGCCATCTAGAAGCTAGGAGTTGGAGGTGTGGAGAGGGTAAAAACAAACGAAAAACCTAGAAGTATGCATGCTTCCTATAAAGGACACAGCTGCCACAGACTTGATTGTCACCCTCCAGAAATGAGACTATTGTTACCAGATTGTCTCATTTTTTTCTGATAGAAGTAAAAAATCCAGTGTTTTAAGTAAAATCTCCCAATACTAAACCTTGGCACCTGACTTAAAGTTCTTTAAAACACCAGGTGGCCAGTCAAATGGCCTCCCTGAGCTAACTGTTTGCATCCTCTGTTGCTCTCTCTTTTGCTCATGATACAAATACCCCCGGAAGAAATATGCCTTATGTCATCTTTGGGTAAATAAATACATCTGGTATTATACTCCATCAAAACTAGAAGGAAGAAGGAGAAAGGGGTGAAGAGGGAGAAGTAAATAGCTCACTAATGGAAGGAAAATGTCACAGAAGTGGAGGTGGAAAAGCACTAGAGATAAATCTGATTTGCTCTTTATGCTAGACAGTAGACCTTTGGACACGCCTCACCTATCTCACTTCTAAAACCTGCACAGCAAACATGAAAATAGACACCATGTGGCAGTCAGAGCCATCAGCCAACAAAAAGAAGTACCTGGTCAATAGAGAACCAACATGTGCAATTCATGAATTTTAGGCGCTAAAAATGAAAATTACATAAAGCTAAATTTAAAAATTAAAACACTCATTAAAAAGCATAAGTTATAATTTTTCTATCTCTGAGGGATAATTAAAACTTAGAAATGTCAGGCTTTAGAAATGTAATTTCTGCCAGTTTGAAGAATAGGAGATTTACTTGGAAGTGTGTCAAAAAAAGATGAAACTCAGCTTCAAAAGAGCAAAGGAGAACCAGGTTGATATTTTATTATTTTCTCAAGCTAAACCTTAGGAGAGAGTTACCCTTCCCTCCTCCCCAATTTTATGCTAAATTATAAAATATAAAATTTTCAAGAATGAATTCTAAATCTTGAATCTATAAATTTGTTTTAATTACAATATATATTAAAAATAAAAATAAATTGCAGGATGGATATAGGAAATCGACCGGAGCCAAGTGTGTTTATCAGCTGCGGGGACACATCACCCCTGTCCGGACTGTTGCCTTTAGTTCTGATGGGTTGGCCCTCGTGTCTGGTGGACTAGGTGGACTCATGAACATTTGGTCTTTAAGGGTAAGAATATAGATGTTATTTTTATAACATATATGATAAAATTTAACCCAACTAATCTTAGGAATATTTTGTGTACTAATATCTTGGACACTCAAGAAACTCTTCTCAAAATTCTCTACCCTTTAATTTTTCTTATTGATATAGTTTCAAAGTCATCTAGAAAAGACCCCAGAAAATTGGAGAGTAGCTATGTAATTGGACATTGCTAAATTTAGCTGGTGTAGATTTTAGAATATGTTTTTGTGAATGTGAAGTATAAATTTAAAATGTAAATAAGGACTGGGGCGCCTGGGTGGCTCAGTGGGTTAAGCATCTGACTTCGTTTTGGCTCAGGTCATGATCTCGGGGTTGTGGGATTGAGTCCCGAACTGGGCTCTGTGCTCAGCGGGGAGTCTGATTGGGATTCTCTCCCTCTCCTTCTCCCCTTGCTCATGCCTCTACCCCCCACCCCCACCACTCGCTCTTGTGCGCATACTCTCTCTCTCTCAAAACAAATAAATAAATCTTTTTTTAAAAAAAATAAAGACTAAGGTTAAGTGATTTGTACTGATATAAATACATCTCATTTTAGGATGGCTCTGTCTTGCAAACTGTTGTGATAGGCTCTGGAGCTATTCAGACCACAGTATGGATTCCAGATGTTGGGGTAGCTGCTTGCTCAAATAGATCAAAGGTAATTTTGCAATTACATTAAATTCTAGGGTATAAGTCTATAAGGTACCTTAGAATTATAGTCTGAGCAGCCCACTTTATGTAAAAGAGGAGAAAACTGATAGCCAGAGAGCTTATTACTTGCCTAAGATAATACAACTATTTAGTGATAGGAGGAAAACTAGCCTAGGCCTCCTGATTTGTAATCTAGTACTCTTCCTACTATACCCTAGACTTTGGTGAAAATGTTTAATTATTGAACAACTTAATTTCCACTGGAAGTTATAAAGTGGATTTTTACTTTCTGCCATGATTTTTTGAGGTAGCACTAAACTGTCTCAAAAGAATTTTTTCTAAAAAGGAGGACCAGGCACCTGGGTGGCTCAGTCGTTAAGCATCTGCCTTCGGCTCAGGTCATGGTCCCAGGGTCCTGGGATTGAGCCCCACATCGGGCTCCCTGCTCCGCGGGAAGCCTGCTTCTCCCCCTCCCACTCCCGCTGCTTGTGTTCCTGCTCTCGCTATCTCTGTCTCTGTCAAATAAATAAAATCTTAAAATAAATAAATAAATAAATAAAAAGGAGGACCAAAGACATTTAACTCAAGTATACAAAATGTATCTTGGCTTTCAAATGTAATATTCTAGTTAAAAAAAAAAAAATAGTAGCCCCCTGCTGTGAAGTAATTCTGATATGACATTATCTCCTGCAGTCTTCCTGTTTATACCCTTAATGAATAGAAGCCAAGGTGCTACTTTAATTTACATTTTATTAGTTAAAAGATTTTTAAATTGAACTGTAAACCTGCATGAACAGTCTTACTAGAAGTAAAATACAGAATCAGAGCCAAGGCAATGGTGGCCTTTGTAGAATAAATCCTAGAGCCACAATTAGAACAGTGCTGCTTCTCTTGCAGTTATGTCCCTCAGCAGGCCGAGGACTCCTTCCTCTGGTACCCTCGTGTCATGTCACGCTTTTGAAATATCCTAGATACCTTGTCCTCCAAGTCCTGTGAAATAGTAACGAATTCACATGTCTCTTTTTAAGGAGAATCAGCAAATGCAAGGTAGCTCACAAATTTTATGGTTATTCTTATTCACTTGTTTTTACTTAGACAACATTTAGGATATTTTGAAGTCCATAGGTATTAAAGGTACAGCATAAAATGTCCCAAACAGCAAAAGTGTTCAATGCAATAACTGGAAAGAATTTCAGATATGAACGCTAATAAAATTCTCTCTTTTATTTTTTACTTAAACAAACATATCACACAGCATGGTTTGTTTTCCATCAGGATGTTTTGGTCGTGAATTGTACAGCAGAATGGGCTGCCGCCAATCACGTTTTAGCAACCTGTAGGACAGCACTGAAACAGCAGGGTGTTCTGGGATTAAACATGGCTCCCTGCATGAGAGCGTTTCTGGAGCGGCTACCCGTGATGCTTCAGGAGCAGTATGCCTATGAAAAGGTAACTGATGACACTCACTGCCGCAGACGTACAGATGATTGCTGCTCTGGAATTTAAATTGCAGCTTTGAGTTTATTCCTCAAGAGCATAAAGTCTGAGGAAAATGAGTGGGGCTATTTGGCAGAATCAGATACAGTTAAGTCATGTCTAAAATGGTTGTTCAGTAATCCTCAGCCTGCTTTTACTTTATTTTAATGGGAGTAAAATTTTAAAATAACCCTCAAATTTGTATAGTGTTTGTATAATTTTTTTTTCAAATTACTTATTCACTCCAAAACTTCTTACAATACCTGTGCTGCAGAGTATCATCTTCCCTTTTCTGACCCATTAATTTATTTTTGTATGGTTTTGCCATCCTGAAGTTGGGAGGTGTGGGGTGGATATGGGTGTCAGGGTGAACATTGTTTATCGGGTGAATCCATGTGGAAAGTTTAGTGGAAGAGGTAAGGCTGAACTGAGTAGGGTCCTTCAATACTAGAATGAGGAATAAGGGAATTTGGACCTGTAGCCCAGGCTGTGATCCAGGTCTTCCAGCCCTCAGTAATCACACTGTGTTGCCCCTAGGCAGAGCTCTCTGGGGCTTTTTTCTTCTTTTTTGGCCAAGCTACATTAATGCAATCAGCTGTTACTGCATCCGGTTAACTGATGTATTTGCCCAAGTTTTCTTTTCTGAATCACTCAGCGTCTCACAGAGTTGCTCTGCCACAGTTAGGGAGGGCCACGGAAGAGGGATCTCCCTTGATGGCTACCAGGATTCTCTTGTAAAGAAGGAAATGTGAGACGGGAGCAGGTCGTCGTGGTTTAGTTATCTGCTTATCATTATTATTACTATTCACGAAAAACTATAGTGAAAATATACTGCTAAATGCATGTGATGTCCTGGATTGGATCCTGGAACAGAAAAGGGTCATTAGTGGGAAAACCAAATAAAGTCCTGTGGTTTAGTTGGTATTGTAGCCAGTATTAATTTCTTGGTTATATAAGATGTTATGAAGGATTAACAGGAATTCTCTGTACCATCTCTAACTCTCTGTTGTATCTAAAAATTATTTCAAAGTAAAAATCATAAAAAAAAATAAATTTTTTGTGTTTTTGTTTTTTTAAGTTTTTATTTAAATCCCACTTAGTTAACATACAGAGTAATATTAATTTCAGGTGTAAAAAAAGAGTAAACTTAAAAAATACAATTATAGGTTTTTAGAATACAGTAGGTGAATTTATCATATTTGGTACAGGCTCTTCAGTTTGACTTTCCTGTGTTTCCTCTTAGCCGCATGTGGTTTGTGGTGATCAGCTTGTTCATAGCCCCTACATGCAATGTCTGGCTTCCCTTGCTGTGGGACTGCATCTGGATCAGCTGTTATGTAACCCTCCAGTGCCACCACATCACCAGAGCTGCCTCCCCGACCCAGCATCCTGGAATCCAAATGAGTGGGCCTGGTTAGAATGTTTCTCAACCACCATAAAGGCTGCTGAAGCCCTGACCAATGGAGCACAGTTTCCAGAATCTTTTACTGTTCCTGATCTAGAGCCTGTTCCAGAGGATGAACTTCTATTCCTAATGGTAAGCGTAGTATGAGCTGCTACTATTCACAGCTGAGATTGTATCACGGGTGTTTAGCAAGTAGCAGACCGTCAGTAAGTATTTCCTAGCTTGGATAGCTAGAAGCATGCCCTTAGATAAACTTAAAATATTTTGCTTTCAGGTAGTCACTTTCAGTCTTATGGCAGCCCTCTATGATGACAAAGATTGTTTATACAAGAACTGTGAAGCTCCTGTAAACTTGGTGGTTTTCGGTGACAGAGTCCCATATTTTCTCATTTTTTGTCCATAGGTTCCTTGTTTAGTATCTGATTTTATACATATTTTAATATCTTTTCCTGGGTCATCCTGGGGGATTTATTCCACCTAAAGATTCTAAATTATTTGCCACTTTAATCATGTTTTAATCACCATAAAATGAGAATACAGAAGAACAGCATTCCAGTTGTCATTTCTGTGATTGTATTTGGGAGCGTCCAGATGTAGAAACTGTGATGTAGATGAGATGCCTGTGTAGACAGAGCAGGCCAGTGCCTGACCTGACAACCTATTTACTTAGTTAAGATTTACATACGCAGACATTTGAATACAAAAATATAGATATAAAACAAATATGAATTGAGGGAAATTATCTAAATATAGATAATTTCTTTATAGCTATAAAATATAATTTAAAAAATTTTTTTTAAGATTTTATTTGTTTATTTGAGAGAGAGAGAGAGACAGAGTTGGAGCAAGCATGAGCGGGGAGGAAAGGGAGAAGACAACTCCTTGCTGAGCAGGGAGCCCGACGCAGGGCCGATCCCAGGACCCTAAGATCATGACCTGAGCCAAAGGCAGATGCTTAACCGACTGAGCCACGCAGGTGCCCCTAAAATACAGTTTTAATTAAGAAGTGTCCTTCTGGGGCGCCTGGGTGGGTCAGTCGGTTAAGCATTTTCCTTCGCCTTGGGTCATGATCTTGGCGTCCTGGGATTGGAGCCCCATGTCGGGTTCCCTGCTCAGCAGGGAGTTTGCTTCTCCCTCTCCCTCTGCCCACCCCCCAACTTGCACTCTCTCATGTACTCTCTCTCTCAAATAAATAAATAAAATCTTTTTTAAAAAAAAGTGTCCTTTTGAGCCTGTTTGCCCCAAATCTTTCATTTCCTAGATGAGGAAATTGAAGCCTAGAAAGATGAAGTGACCTGCCTGCTGCTGTACAGCAAGTTCACGGGGGTGGTAACTCCTGCACATGACCTTGAACCTGTTGGTGCTCAGAAAACCTAAATGGTTAACTTTGAATCGCCAGTGTGATAGTGATAGTGATAGTTGATTGTGAAGTGTTTATGATAAAGGGAAATATTAACAATGCATAGTCAAGTTTGGCATGATTATAAAACTGCTCATAATTTCTTAAAGTATTAAAAAAATTTTCTTATTTACTAAGTTCTTTTATGGAAAGAAGACTTAGTTGTTAATTAATAACAGATAAATCTTGGGGTGCCTGGGTGGCTCATTCCGTTAAACATCCAACTCTTGATCTCAGCTCAGGTCTTGATCTCAGGGTCCTGAGTTCAGGCCCCATGCTGGAGGGTCTATTTTATTTATTTATTTTATTTTCTAAAAAAAACCCATAAATCTTGATTAGGACTTATTAAGATTCATCCTGATGTTTGCTGTGTCTTGCAGGATAACAGTAAATGGATTAATGGCATGGATGAACAAATTATGTCTTGGGCAACTTCCAGACCTGAGGTCAGTAAAGATAGCTATATGGTGGTTCTGATTAAATCTTCTGATACTAAATGCTTGTTTGTTTGTAACCTGGTGTCTCTTATAGAGGCCGGCCCATGTTTGTTAGAAGGAATGGTTGAGTCTAATTTTGAGATGAATGTGGTCTTCTAGGATTGGCACCTGGGAGGTAAATGTGATGTCTACCTGTGGGGTGCTGGCAGGCATGGACAGCTGGCAGAAGCAGGAAGAAATGTAATGGTCCCTGCAGCAGCTCCCTCATTCTCACAGGCCCAACAGGTAACTAACAGGGTAAAGAAGTGAGGAAGAAACTCTAACAATTCTAATTTCCTTGCTGTCAGATAAAGTTTATCTGTTGTGTAATCTGTTGAGGAATAACTAAACAAAGTCATGATGTATACCTTCTAAATAAAAGCTTTCTAGGGTTTTTATCAGACTTAAATTTTGTTAATAAGTTCTAAATTTTTCTTGCTTTCAAGTGTAATGAATTAACATCATGATGCATTAGGCCTGCCTAGTACATATGTATAGAAGTTAACATACTCCTAATTATTGATTCTGTTTTGTGGTCATTAACTTACAGGGGTCTTTAGCTAGATTTCATTGATACCCCTCTCCTCCTCTAATAATCGTGGTAGTATATTTCCAAACCCTCTCTCAGGCCACTGCTTTCTCTTCCATTCTTCTCCACCTTAGTAAGTCCCAGGATGCACTCCTTTTTCTTGTGTATTTCCCCTCAGCTTTCCGCTTCTTGATCTCTAGCTAGTCTTTAATATTTCCCCTCACCTTTTCCTCTTTCTGTTTGTTTTGTTGTTAATGTTATTATTTAAACTCTGGGGATGCCTGGGTGGTTCAGTCAGTTAAGCGTCTTCCTTCAGCTCGGGTCATGATCCCAGGGTCCTGGGAACAAGTCCGCCGTCAGGCTCCTTGCTCAGTGGGGAGTCTGCTTCTCCCTTTGCCTGCCACTCCCCCTGCTTGTGCACGCTCTTTCTGACAAATAAATAAATAAATCTTTAAAAATAAATAAATAAACCCTGCACAAACCTGGGCACCTGGGTGGCTCAGTTGGTTAAGTGTCTAACTCTTGATTTTAGCTCTGGTCATAGTCTTGGGATTGTGACATTGAGCCCTGTGTCGGGCTCTGCGCTCAGTGCAGAGTTTGCTCCATGTTATCTCCTTCTCTCTGAACTCCTACCCCTGCCTCATTTGCACATGCTCTCTCTCTCAAATAAATAAAATCTTTAAAATAAATAAATAAACTCTGCACAATTGGCTGCAATCCCTGTAGATAAGATAGTTCTAAATGATTTTAAATAGTCCAGTGAGCCTCATAACATCTCTTTGTTAAGTAAGCAGTTTTATAATAATGAAGAGCTTGTAGGAACCCCATACTCTTTAGTGAAAGGATAGAAGAATTAATAAAGGTATCCTAGGTATGCACAGAATCATTCTAAGTGGTAAAGCTATATAATAAAGGATAATATATTTGTGTGTTTTTATCCTAGGTCATATGTGGTCAGAATTGTACCTTTGTCATCCAGGCCAATGGCACAGTGTTGGCTTGTGGGGAAGGAAGTTATGGCAGATTGGGACAAGGAAATTCAGATGACCTTCATGTGCTGACAGTTATTTCAGCCCTACAAGGTAACATTATCCTCAGTTAAAAGGTGGTCCGAGACTATGGTCTAACTATAGGAATGTTAGCTTATGTTGGAACTTATCTCAAACCTTTGCTAGATAGAGTCATAGAGGGTTTTCACTTCTTTAGATTCTCATTTAGGATGTACAGCCTGATTTCCATATTTTAAGCTATGTTATTTTGCAAGCTCTTTATCATGGCAGTGCTTGAATTCAGTGATATAAATAACTGTTCTAAGACCTACTGAAGATTGTAAACAAATTCTTTAAAATTGCGAAACTGTAATTAGGCAACTATTAATAGCAGTAATAATCATGCATGTGTTTCCTAAAAAGTAAAAATAAATTTATATGGAAATGTGCAAATGTACTAAAGACTTTACAGGGCATCTCTGTCAGAGTTCTCTGACTTGGAAAAAGAATACATCTGGAGAATCCACTGCAGGAGCTCCTGGCTTGTTTCTTAAGTCAACTTTTACTGACTCCAGAGCCTACAAAGAGAGCAAAGAAGGTTTTTTCAGTAAAAACATACAAGTAACAATGAGTTCAGAACCAATTCTGAAATAGTTCTGAGTTCTCTTCCTTGAGATCTCTTCCTCCCAGAGCACAGCAGTGGGGATGGGAGGGCAGGGTTCTATTCAGTATTATTGCATCCTGCCTCTAGGGCCTTGCACAAGCTAGACTAGACCTCTTTGTGACTCGGTTAGCCCATTTGTAAAAGTGGTGATGATAATATCTGCCTCATAGGTTCCATGTGAAAGTAGAAAAGGAGACATTCCAGGTAAAGCATTTCTAGGAGTGGCTAGAACATAGGCCTTGATGACTATAACTGACCTTGTCACCCTCCTTTTCTTCCTTGTCATCATTTTATGTGACTGCTCCCAATTTACTAGGTTATGGCTTCAAATTTGATTTAATATTAAAGACATTGCCTTTCTTTCTAAGACAGTTTTGGTATTTTTTCATGCTAAGAGTATTCTGTAGCAGCTGCATGTAAAGAGTTTTACCAGCCAGTGATTCTTGTTGGCTTTCTGCTCTGTTCCAGGATTTGTGGTGACCCAGCTGGTGACTTCTTGTGGTTCTGATGGGCACTCAATGGCCCTGACTGAAAGTGGAGAGGTCTTTAGCTGGGGAGATGGTGATTATGGCAAACTCGGCCACGGGAACAGCGACAGGCAGCGGCGCCCCAGGCAGATCGAGGCCTTACAAGGAGAAGAAGTGGTGCAGGTCAGGCAGGACGTGGATCAGTTTGCCTTTGAATATAAATATACTAGTTGTTGAATAGTATTCTCAAATTTAAGTAACAGGAAATAATAGTAAAAATATATTATGAGTCATTACAAGAGATCCGCTGTTTTTGGTTGTTCATCCTTAAATTTATTAGGAATTTGAATGGCTTTGGTAATAGAACAGACTCCCTTTTCCTGAGCCAGTTCCGTGGCCCAGGATGGGATACTTCAGGTGCTTGGAAGAAACACAGTGGGGTTTAGCTCGTGCCGCATAGTTCTTGATACAGTGATAGGTTGAATGCAGAGCTTAACATTTATCATTATTGTTACAAGTGTTGAGTTCATATGCATGTTCTGGAAAATTGACTAGTGATCTAGGATGATATTTTTTTTATACAGATATATTTAGTGCTCGCTTCAGCAGCACATATACTCTACAGATATATTTATTTATAAATATTAGGAACACAGTTTATAAAAGAAGAAAACTCCTCTCTAGAGCTAGGATGATATTCTAAAATTGCATAGCACCAAGGAGTTCACAAGAATTTCCCCATTTACTATCGCATGTAACGTCTAGGTCATCTGTACACAGCTAAAGCCATAGCAGCAGTTCTTCTAAGGGAGGCTGGTTAGCTTGGTCTTCCTGAGGATGATGGGGAGATCAGGCTTGGGGAAACAGGAGGGCCACTTGGGCAGGTAGGACATACTGGTCTTGAAGATCCTGAGTTGTCAGTGAAGTTTATTACTATGTTAATTACCAAAAATGACGGATTTCGTTCTTTCTCAGTATACCCTCTTCTTAAATTTTTTTGTTCTCCTTGGTTCTATCTGTAGATGTCTTGTGGCTTCAAGCACTCAGCAGTGGTAACTTCAGATGGCAAACTGTTCACTTTTGGCAATGGTGACTATGGTCGTCTGGGTCTTGGAAACACCTCTAACAAAAAACTTCCAGAGAGAGTGACTGCACTGGAGGGATATCAGATTGGACAGGCATGGAATAAGTCAATATGTTCCGTCTGGTCATAGTATCTTATTTCCTTTGTGTGCACTGAGACACTGCCCTTTAAAGAAGACAAGAATCATCAGTTGTACTTAACCTCATGTACATTTTGTTTGGCCTACTTGATCATTTTTCGTGATTTTTTTTCCCAGTGTGAGAATTCACATTTTAAGTCATATTTGACAAACGAAAGCATTAATTCAGGATGCACATGTTTTAAAACCCCCTCCATAATGCAACTTAATATAAAACCTTTAAGCCTTACAGATTTCTGTGACTGCTATCTGGTAGTTTGGAAGTAGGTGGCTGAATTGCAGCATCATTGGTACTACTGCTTTTAAGCAGTACTTGTCCTGTACACATTGAGATTACCTCTTAACAAGGAGATACTTTTATCATTTTCTCTATCATTCCCTAGGCTGTCTCTGATGTATTTTTGACTCATTACATACCTTTCCTCTTTTATGTTCTCTGATTCTAAGGTAGCCACAGATATTTGAAGGATTTCGCCTCAAAGAAGAAAGTTATTTTTTCATTTGTGGACATTAGGAATTTTTTCTTATTGACACATTTTGTTAACATATGCAGGAGGCTCTGAAATTAAAATAAAAATATATATAGCCAAATTTTTCACTGAAGTGGAAAAGAACCCCAGAAACAGATATATGGTTTAGGTGCTATGATTTTGCCTTACTGAATACCCTGTTCTTTCTTTAGGTAGCATGTGGCTTAAACCACACATTGGCAGTATCAGCTGATGGCTCCATGGTGTGGGCTTTTGGAGATGGGGACTATGGAAAGCTAGGCTTAGGAAATTCCACTGCAAAATCTTCCCCTCAGGTCAGTATTGCCTTTAGGGTTTCACACAATGCAGTTTTCGTCTGTGTCAGTGCTTCTTTTTAGTTGGAAATAATTTACCTTTAACATTTTAGTAATTCATAATGAAGTTTAGAAGCGTCTATTGCTTACTCTTAAATGTCCAACATTCTAGATCTTGATTTTATTTTTTTTAAATATTTTATTTATTTATTTGACAGAGAGAGATACAGTGAGAGAGGGAACACAAGCAGGGGGAGTGGGAGAGGGAGAAGCAGGCCTCCCGCTGTGCAGGGAGCCCGATGCGGGGCTCGATCCCAGGACCCGAGCCAAAGGCAGACGCATAATGACTGAGCCACCCAGGCGCCCCTAGATCTTGATTTTAAATAAGCCATTAATGGCTAAACTGAATGTAAAAATGGTGCAAGGATAAGCCTTTGTCCCCATACACCGGCTGAACAATGCAGGACTGTCTCCCATGTAAAGAAGAAATAGTTACAGATGTATCTCCAGGGGTCTGAGGGAGGGAACCTTGAACAATCTTTTGTATCCTTCTGCTTGCAGCTGCCATTTTAGCGGATTATTACCCCTAATTTATACAAGTATGTGCCTCCTTTTAAAAAATAATAAAAAGGAAATATAGAAAACAATAAATTAGAAGCTAATATTCACATTACAGAAGGTTTCTTGGCTCTGCGGAAGACCTTCTGTGCAGTTCTTTCAGTGGGTTTTCCTGATACATTAAACAAGCAGCGTGATCTACAAATATTTAATGTATATTCAACTCCTGATGCCCTATCATATATAATATGTAATATCTTGATAGCTAGATTGGTGAATATTCAGCTAAGGATGTGCCAGGAAGCCGTCTCTCAAAGTAGAAAAAGTCTAACTGGGAGCAGCCCATGGCTTTACCATGGTCTCATAGTATTGTTTAAAAGGCTACAGGATTCTCTTTGGTTCCTGTTGCGCAGAGGAGGGATTCCACTCACATGAGATCCCAGGGATTTTAGTCAAATGCCCCTCCTTAACACTCCTCCCTTCCCCCTCCCCCCCCGCCCCGACACACAAATTCAGATAAATTGTAGAGCAGTGTGAGAAAATAACATTTAGGAGTGTGGATTTGGGTGGAAACAGGTAGGTGAAGAGTATTTTTATTAGAAGATAGTCCTTGGGTTTATACATGCTAGTAGGCAACTTCAAAGGTGTTTTTATTTTCCTTTTTAAAGTTTGTGCTTTATACTTATATTTTGCAGAAAGTTGATGTCCTTTGTGGAATTGGAATAAAAAAGGTTGCTTGTGGAACTCAGTTTTCTGTTGCATTGACCAAAGATGGTCATGTGTATACCTTTGGTCAAGGTAAGGCATTTTCCAGGCATTAACATTGCTTGTTTTGTGTATACATGTATTATAGAAACATTTGCCTTCCAGTTTTATAGAAAGTGCTCTAAATAGAGTTATTTTTTGTTATGGGTGATGAATGGCCACTATGACCTTCGTTCACTAGCTACTTTTCTCCTTTTTCATGAACTTTGTCATAAGGACAAACTCTCCTCCCCGCTGATGGCCTCTCATGCCAGAGCCTTCGCTCTTGCTAGAAGAGTCCCTGCCAAAGCCCTTCCCATCCTCCTTTCTGCTGCCTACACTGTGCTGCCATAAACACTTCTTGACCACCGGAGCTACTCTGGATCCTGTCCAATTCCCCAGCCCTTCCAGGGAATGGAAGTTCGGGTCTTAGGAATTCATAGGCATTCAGGGTTCAGATCTTGAATGGGTTCTTAATCCAAGCATCCACAGTGTGATTTCCTGGCAATATACTCACCTTCTTATGTAGAACTTCTTGGCAAGTTGTAGTGACTGAGAAGTGTGTAAGGCAGATAGGAGGGGGAAGAAATAAGTCATGAGGGAAATTTCTAGTCTTGGCAGAACAATGATGTCGCTGAGGACAGGGAGCTGGTTTTGGAGAACTAGGTAAGGAACTTAGTTTTGGTCATATTGAATTGGGGCCATATACTCAAGGTATATGTATGGAGATGTCTAGCAAGTTATTGGGGATTTGGATCTGGAACTCCAAAGAGATTGGTTATAGAGATGTAGATTTGCATAATGATAGTATTTAAAACCATGTTAATAGGCTTTAAGAAACTCAGGGAGAGAGTGTAGAATAAAAAAGAAGTGCATAGAACTCTGGAGAATATGAGTAAAGGGCAGGTGAGCACAGAAGGAGGACTCGGGAGAGTTGGCTTTGAAAGGAATGGAGAGAGAGGTAGCCAGTGAGCCAGGATAGTGCAGAGTCTCTGCAGGTAGGAGGCGCTGAGGACAGGTCAGCAGAAGGTTATGTGGGCTCTGGGGGTAGAGCCTGAGAAGACACTGCTGCCGTAGGCAGTTAGGAGCTACCCATGGCTTTTGAGAACATAGCCTCAGTGCAGTGGTGAGAGTGAAGGGTAGGCTGCAGAAGGTGGCCGCGCCCAACAGTTCCAGAGGACATGTGGCAACAGGGGCTGGCCTGCACTTTCTAGAAGTTGGGCAGCAAAGGTAAAGGGAGAGGTTGGCTAGAAGTTTGAGGACAAGACAAGTTGAGTGATGTCTTTTCATAGAATGCAAGAACCATAGGGTCTTTCTTAACTATGTGCCAGTCCTCTCAAATAGGAGGATAATGGAGGTGCCTCTTGGTTTGAAATAAGCTGCTATTTTAGATTTATTTATTTTATGAATAAGGAGTCTGTGACATTTTGCAAAGGTGCTGTTTCAAACTTCATTCACTCAGAATCCAGTATACCTTATCAGAATGGCAGCTTTTGCCATCATGAGTTAAATATGTCATTGCTATTCCACCAGAAAAGTTAAACGACTCATTAGAAAACATAAGACTGTGGTGTCCCGTCCATAAATTTCCTCTTACTGTTTTTTCAGATCGCTTGATAGGCTTGCCAGAGGGGCGTGCTCGCAATCACAATAGACCACAGCAGGTCCCTGTCCTGGCTGGAGTGGTCATCGAAGATGTGGCAGTTGGAGCTGAGCACACACTTGCTTTGGCATCAACTGGAGATGTATATGCCTGGGGGAGCAATTCAGAAGGGCAGGTAAATATTTATCTTGCTTGTCCTCTCATATTCTAGAATTGTGACAGTGTTCCTCATTTGGGAGACGGATAGGCTCGGAAACTCACAAGATCTACCACAATGTCTCACACACATCACTTTGCCATGGGACGGATTTATTTGTAAGTCCAGTTGTTCATGTCTCTCTCTTGATTGTGGCCAAGTAAGTATTATACCATGGTTTAAAAAAAATTTGATGGTATCGCAAAGTGATTAAGGGAATTAACTGAGTATATGTGTGTGTCTACACTCATTAAGGCCACATAGTAAGCAGCAACTTTATAGGTATTAGCTACTATCATCATCATCGTTTTTATTGTGGTTATATGTGAGATTAGGTCCTGGGAGCATCAGTTGATCTGGAACATGGAAAGAATCAAACAGCACTTTTATATTTAATAATAGGACATAGTACTGTACATAGTATGGTATACATAGTATATTTGTGTTTGCGCAGGAAGTCTTGTCATCCCCATTCTACAGAGGAATAAACTGAGCCTCTGAGAGGTTGAGAGAAGATTCAAGAAGTTGCTATGTTCAGCCTACCCTGTATATGAAGGAGGGAAAGATCTGGGTGGGAGATGTCTGGGGTGCCTGCTGCTACAGTGGCTTTCAGCCCTGCATGCAGAGCCACATCCCCTTCCTCCATAAATCCTCTCTGGGTCTGTCTGCCCACAGAGCCAGGGGCCCTCAAGTTCAAGGTCTCCATTGTTACTCATAGTAGCCTCAGTTTGACTCTGTGGTCACCTCATCACTATGTTAACAGGTGAGGAAGCTGCTCATCATTGTGGTTGCACATTTTCTTAATGAGAAGAGAGTTGCTGCTGAAGACACCTTAGAGAGGTCGCTGGCAGGGGCTTGACATGATCCTCCCTAATGATGTTGAGCTGCTTAGCCACTGAAACACTGGGTATCCCACTCACACCCTAAGAACAGAGATCTAGAAATGAGAATCTGCTTCTGTGTATGTTTTTATAATTCTTTATTGTTACCCAGGCAGTCCATGTTAAAAGGAAATCAGTATGTTTTAAATAAAAGCTCTATAGATCATTCTGTTACTTCTTTAACTTTCCAGGAGTTATTTCCTCTCTAGAAGTGGAATCCAAGGATGTGTTCGTCATTAAGACTCATCTGCTAGATTTGGAATGGCCTTGTTGCAGCTAAGTTTTTAGGAGACAGTCTGAGCTGTGAGGACTATTCTGATAGAGATAATTAGAATTAATTTCATTATTTTGATGCTGTCGCTTGGTATAGATATTTATTTATATCTGCTGCCACCTAAGGCAGATTGCATCATCTTGACTTCCTCTCTTCCTCTTTTTAATTGACTCTTTGTTTTTGTAATTTATTCCCAGCTTGGCTTAGGCCACACCAACCACGTTCGAGAACCCACCCTGGTAACAGTTTTGCAGGGGAAAAACGTTCGGCAGATCTCAGCTGGCCGCTGCCACAGTGCTGCCTGGACAGCGCCGCCTGTCCCACCGAGGGCACCGGGTAAGAGATGAAATAGCCGCGCTCCTGCAGCCTCTCTTTTCGTGGTCCCCAGCCATACTGTCTGCTTGCCAGTTTCGGACAACATCCAGGCATCAGGCATCATGCTGAAACCGCCAGGCCCCCCCGCAAAACCACAGTACTCTTCGTGCTACCAGCACTGTAAATACTTTCCTAGCAGGTGATTCTGCAGACTTCATCACAAAAGCCCTTCCTCTCTACACCCCCCAAAAGAAGAAAACACATCACTTAGGCAAGCAAAAATGTAAAATTTTAGAGCAGCAACTAAGTATTTTTTCATATATAAAAGAAGTGATGAATCATAGCTTTCTAAGGCCTGCCATTAGTAATAAAGACTCAAAGGTCTGAGACCATTTGTCAGATTCTCGACCCCAATTAACCATTTGAAACATGTTGTCTGTGCATTGGCACAGCCAAAAAAAAAAGAAAGAGAGAGAGAGAAAGAAAGAAAGAAAGAAAGAAAAAAACAATGTTGCCATATTACTCCAGCATGTAACAGGACTGATAGGCAGTTTCTACCTTTTTATTATACAATCCTTGTAGAGCTACAAAAAGATATAAAGGGGCACCTGGGTGGCTCAGTTGGTTAAGCGTCTGCCTTCGGCTCAGGTCATGATCCCGGGGTCCTGGGATCGAGCCCCACATCTGGCTCCCTGCTCAGCAGGGAGTCTGCTTCTCCCTCTGCCTCTCCTCTGGTTCATGCCTCTCTCACTCACTCTCTCAAATAAATAAAATCTTTAAAAAAAAAAAAAGGATATAAAGAAAATAAAATGTGTATTTATGTACTTTACATTCTACTGCATACTCTCCATATTGGATCCATCTTCCATTCCCCACAAGTGTGGGACATTTATCATTCCTTATGCATTTCTTTACATTTGGGCTGTTTCTCTCCCAGGCCCTTAAGCCCTTTCTTTATACTGTTCTCTGGCGTGTCGGACTAGAGTTTCCTTGAAGCAACCTTGTGCCTGGGAACTCAGCATTCTCTTCCCTTTTTGCTGACCTCTGCTTCTGAGTCCTTGGGGAAGACTCACCATAGAGATTTTTTTCTGTTAAATACCCTAAGGGAGCAAATTAGGACTACCAAGTAGATTCCAAACAAGCAGGACATGTTTTCTGATTAGCACAGTCCAGAATGAGCAGTGCTGCTCACCCACTGACAATTTCAGGTCCTCAGGGTCCTCTTCATCTTACAGAGAGATCTCACTCCCACTTCAGGAGAGAGGCTGTGCAGTGTGGTGGTTAAAGGTCCAGATTCTGGAGCCGTGTTGCCTGGGTCGAATCCTAGCTTCTCCTGTTAGAAGCTGAGTGATCTTAAGACTCTGTTTCCTTGTCTGTAAAATGGGATGATAATAGCCCCTGTTGTAAAGAGCTATAGAATTAAATGAAACAATTTGCATGAAGCTCTTAGAATAGTGCTCAGCACATAAAAATACTCAATAAATGTTAGCTTTTATTAATAGTATTAATAAAATTAATTGGGAATAAAAATAAACTGGGAATTGAGCTGTGCAAGTCTTTATTTACATGAAATTCAAATAAGGCAAATGAGGTAGGTTTACTCTGTAAGTTTTTAATAGGGGAATGATGAGTACAGTCTTTGCTTCTAGTCTTGGCTTCTACAGAGCTCTTACACTTGTAGTACAAAGCTTTCATGAATCATGCACCCATAGCTTTCATTCTATCATGGTCACTTTCTGTCAGATCCTAGTAAGTGTGGGAGGTGACTGCTGAGCTGCCCACTTCTATTTTCCAGAATGGCCTACCTAGTCCTGGCTCACATCTTATGTTTTATGAAGATGGCAGCTGTTGAATACAAAAGGAAGAATTTGGGGGTTTTTGTTTTTGTTCTTTTTGTTTAAGATTTTATTTATTTATTTGAAAGAGAGCGAGAGAGACAACATGAGGGGGAGGGGCAGAGGGAGAAGCAGGTTCCCCGCTGAGCAGGGAGCCTGGTATGGGGCTTGATCCCAGGACCCTGGGATCATGACCTGAGTGGAAGGCAGACACTTAACTGACTGAGCCACCTAGAAGCCCCTGTTTTTGTTCTTTTGTGAAGGAGCTATTTAAGTCCCATAGTTAAATAGGAAACTAAATTAAAGGAGAAAAAAAGTTTCCATAATGGTAAATAAAAAAAGATGTCTTAAAAACCAACACATACGGGGCACCTGGGTGGCTCAGTCAGTTAAGCGTCTGCCTTTGGCTCAGGTCATGATCCCAGGGTCCTGGGATCGAGTCCCACATCGGGCTCTCTGCTCCGCAGGAAGCCTGCTTCTCCCTCTCCCACTCCCCCTGCTTGTGTTCCCTCTCTCGCTGT